TGATCATTTGCTCCGCTAATAATCAATAAGATCGATGGATTCCAGAGAAGAGAAAACTTTGAAGGCCTTTTTCTCAAAATGATGACTCTGTGACAGTCATTATATAATGTGACATATTTCGCTTAATATTTGGAGTACAAAAACAATCCTGATATCATTAGAAAGCTAGGAATCTCCTCTTTCCAGCAGTGTATACAACTCAAAATGTGTCTTCGGGTCAATGCGACTAATTTCGATAGAGCACGTCACATATGTGAATTAGTTTAACTCATAGGGAGTCAGGGCCACAAGGGGAAACTCTGCAGCTCTGAAAAAATACCTCAGCAGGACAAGACCAATGAAAAATGCTTTTGAATTATGGGTGTTTTTTTGTATTGAACCCACACCAGATAGCCTTGGCTGTATTAATGCTGTCCATTTAGGTTTTCATTTGCCTCTTGCAAGCCCTCCAACTTTATGAAAGTGGCTTATTTTAAGACAATGATCATGTATTTTTTATTTTCCTGTCATCTCTTGATCTTGATTTATAAACAGTGTAAAGTCAACCTAAAATACTTTAATTTAATAAGAATTCAAAGGTTCAATAATGCAGTGGCGTCTTTTAACACATCATTTAGTTTGATGCAATCCTAACTTAAAAAAACCTAATACCAGTCTTTTTCTATTCTGCATGTCAGGACATTTAAAGAACGATATGTGATGCCAAAGAATCGTGACAGAGGAGTTAAATATTCAAACATTTCAAATAGTTCCTGGTGAAACACATACCCATGACATGGTGCTTGGTGGCCAGTATGGTGGCACTGGTCAAATCATCAGACTTAAATGTGGCGCCGCTTTCCTTGGAGCTAGTATCTACAGTCAGCTTCAGCTTCTCCCCCACAGCCAGAGCAGACAGCTGCTGGTGGAGATCACTGTTCTCTGAGGGAAACGGAGACCACAAGAGGTTAGACGCAGTAGACAAACTTTCAATTACAAATTAAAAGAGGGATGAATTCTTACCTCTGCTAGCCAACATTCCAGACACAGCTTTTCTCTCCTGCACGCCGTTGAAGAGTCTGGTCTCTGCATCGCCGTCCGGAGAGATGACCTCTGACATCTTCAGCGTGACCAGGAAGCGCCGTTTCTCCTCATCCAGGTTGGTCACTTTGGCGAGGACCGTCTGGCCCAGCTGGAAGGCAGACACCGTATCGCTGAGGAACTTGTTGGTCATGGCCTGAAAGAAAGAATAAATAAATAAAAGGATTTCAGTTGGGAACTATGACGAAATAAATGATTGACCTAGGGAAAGGCGTATCGAACTGAATATCCGAGATTCATGGGTTACTTTACATTAAATAACTTTGATATTCCCCAGGAATTAAGTGGTAAATCTACAAGATAATGACTTCTTTGAGAGAATAAAGTCAATCATTTGCAAGAAAAAAAATACTATTCTCTGAGATTAAATGTAATATCCAATTTGTTCTCATTGCTTGACAGTAAATCTGATTGCAAAGTATAATCAGAGTATAATCCATCGCAGGAATAATAAGCGGCAAAGCAAAGACGTTTATCTAACCATTGCAAATAAAAAATGTAATTAACTGATGAAAAAAGCATACATTTATTCAATTTCTGTTCTGATTTTTCACACAAATTACTTTATTACATAGGAATATTCTGTATTTTTCTTGTAATGTTCGACCTTTATTCTCGCAAATGTATTTCTTTAAACCTGCACATTTGAGATTGTTCTGTGAATATTACACCCCTCTCTTACTGTTTTTTTGTGATCTCTCTCTCTTTTTTTATTTATTTATTTATTTTTTAAATCTACTCTGGGCTTAAAGAGCCTGTGACACGATTTTCCCCCATCATCCAAACCCATCAATTTGAGTAAATATTGTCCCCTTGAAAACCGTTACTGAACTGATTTTGGATATTTGTACTTTGATAACCATTAATCTGCCCTTCAATGTTGACCATTTCCTGGATCTTCTCGGGGATTCTTCAAGTCCCGCCAAATTATGGGTGACGTCAATGCGGGCACAGCGCTCCAGCTGCACCGTTCAGGATCCCAGCATCTGCATGTAAACGCACGATGGCGCACACAGCAGCAAGCTCAGACAGCGATGACAGTTTAATTTTGAACGTGTCTGAGAGCTCATATGAGGCTGAAGGATCGGTTTATGTTGTATCTGTTAGAAGTTTAGGAATTATAGGCCCTCCAGAAAAACGCGATTCTGCGATCGCAGAATTTACCGCATAATCAGCCAAATGGCGCAGATTTTTAAAAAGCCGCATATTTATCAAAAGGCCGCATAATCCCCGCATTTTTCCACACAAAGTTGAGAAGAGAAAAAAGTTAACTCGTCTTGACGTGACGTCATCAGCTCGCGCATCACAGAA